GTGGGATAGCGTATCTATCATAGGTGATACAGCGGGATAGGGTTTCTATCATGGTGATACAGCGGTATCGGGGCATATAGCATGGTTAATACAGCGGGATAGGGTTTCTATCATGGGTGACAAAGAAGGTTAGGGCAGCTATCTGTCTGCTCAGGTGGAAGCCTGTAACTAGTGATATATTACTGATAACCCATTAAATCTAAGAATCAAAGGTATTGCTGTACTAGTGTTGGTGGCGGTGGTAGATAATGTTCTTTTTATAATATAACAATAGTAGTATTCCTCGGCAGAAGTAGCAGCAGCCACTACTGTGGTCTTTGTGCGAGTTGTAATAGTAGTAGTAAAAGTAGCATCAGTAATAGTAGTTGCAAGTAAAAAGTAAAGGACCATTTTCCCCGTCTTTAGGCGTATATGGCATATAGGGCTAGACCTATATTTTTTGTAGACTAATCGTTACAAGATGGGTGACGTGGTCAGCATTACGCCGGCCGCCTTTACTTTCCGGGAATGCACCCGGTACTCACTCAAGGCTGGGTCGACCTGAAAACCAAGGTCTTTTTTGACAAAAGTTTTGCTCCGCCAGGGAGCGAACCCACGATCTTCTGATCCGCAGGCGAGTGTGTAGTCGCTCCGCCACAGCGACTCACAAATAGTAGTTGTAGAGGTAGTAAATTTAGTAGTAGTAGTAAAAAGGGTAGAAGTAGCTGGAGTAATCGTTTCAGAAGTAGTAGTCGTAGTGATGGTAGAGGTAGTGGTAGCAGTAGTAGTTTTAGTAGTAGTAGTAGTGGTAGCAGTAGTAGTGTTAGTAGTAGTAGTAGTGGTAGCAGTAGTAGTGTTAGTAGTAGTAGTAGTAGTGGTAGCAGTAGTAGTGTTAGTAGTGGTAGCAGTAGTAGTGTTAGTAGTAAGGATAAAGCAACAGTTGTGATGGTGGTAATGGTGTCTGACGACAGCGACGAAAAACAAAACTAACACAAGTGAGGAATAGAAGAAGAATGCAGACAGAGAAGAAGGACGAAGAAATAAGAGGTAAATAAGAAACGTTGCTGATTTGTTACAGAGACGGATGTTCAAGAGAATTCAGGTAATAGATGTGATGCCAGGACGAAGCTGGGAGTGAAAATGAAATTAGATCAATGAGGCTGGATTCCTGAATCGCAAACAAACAAACTAGAACAAAAGCACGCCGTGACTGCACCAGAAGCCAACCTGGCAAAAATACGCACAAGAACAATGCATAGTCATTGTATGCTAGTTGCAATTAGGGACCAAACAGAGATTTCTCAAAATCCAACCAGCCAACTCCGCCAACTGGCTGCATGTTTTATGCCAATCGCGATTATCGGAAATCTGAATCCAGCTTTTGTACAAGATTTAAACCCAGGACAAAAGGGTATCGGGTTTCCAGCTGATGTTACCAACGTGTGTTCGCCAGAGGTCGCTTTTAAAGAGACCGTTGTCATATGGCGTAATGAAAATGATTGTGAGTGGGATTTGCGCTTTGATTTCACCTCGTGGGGTGATGGGTCAGACGGCCTAGTATCTGTTTCAACTGTCTGCGACGATGCGGAGATGTTTTACTTCAAATCAATCAAGATACAATATCCACAGAAGTAATTGTTGGACTGGAGGACTATTGTTGCATGATGTGCCACGCCTGCGGCTCACCACTGAGCTGTTGATCTGTTTTTGTGAGCACAGCCGATGACTCAGATAATATGGCCAAGAAACTTTCTAGCTATTACGCTTTCTGTCTTACTCTAGGTTACTGGTTTTGCGTTTTGTTTTTTGTTTTTAAGAACTTGGCCCTGTACACTGCTGGAAAGCAGAATTGTGTCGTCTGCTGGTTTGGAATTATCTGGTGTGTGTGTTTTTTTTTTCTGAAACATGTCCCTGTGCCAGGTGAACAGTGGACTACCGACCGTGTCTGCTAAATTTCAGATCTGACAATATTAGCTCATAAACTGTTATGGCCGAATTCAAGCAAGTTGACTAAAGTAAGATTTAGCAGCAGAAATGTGGGCAATTTGCTTTTATCCCTTTAGATGGGATTTGAACTGTGTCCTTAGAAATAATAGATTTAGTTACCTTGCTACTGTTTCAGGCTCCGGCTGGATAATTACTGAGTATGAAATAAGAGCTGATATAAAATTGCAACGTATCTGCTTTCTGCCACGATTCGGCTTTAAATGGTTACTGCAACGTAGCTACTTCTACTGCTCTAACGTCTAGGATTGATAACACCAACGACTCTCAGTTCCTTTATACATTTGTCAGTTTATTCTGTAACATTCTTCCACAATGTTCCAACAATTGTTCAAACATCCACGAATTATTGTCAAGACATTAAAACTACATCAGGATATTCCAGTAAGCTCTCCGTCCCCATCTTAGGCAGCAAGCGCAAAGTTTCAGGCCCGATGGCGCCAGTAACTGTCTGGTTGTACGTCCGTCTCGCCTCTCCCATTGAGTGTTGAGCCTCAGCCAGATCCACTGGTCACTTCTCTTCTCTCTCCCTGAGTGTTGATCCTCAGCCAGATCCACTGGTCACTTCTCTTCTCTCTCCCTGAGTGTTGATCCTCGGACAGATCCACTGGTCACTTCTCTTCTCTCTCCCTGAGTGTTAAGCCTCGACCAGATCCACTGGTCACTTCTCGCCTCTTCAACTGAGTTTTAAGCTTCGGCCAGATCCCCTGGTCACTCATCGCAGCGCCATTGTCCACAGAACCATGATGGTCTGCTTGTGCCTCCGCACCGTTCACTGACTCCCGTAAAGCCATGAAACAACTAGACCGTCATGTATCAATTGACCAGCAAGTGGTGCAAAGCCACCTGTAGTTCAAATCTATACTGAAAATAACGTCTCAGATTTTCAAGAAATCAAAAATAAACAAAATCAGTCACACGTATACACTGTCTATGGCATCAATGCTCTCTCGCGGATAGCCAGAAGCCGTAGACCTTGATGTATCTGCCAGAGCACGATGCTTGCCGTTCTTGACCAGCCTTGTTGATGACATTCCTTCCTGAACCATTCTCAGATTCTCGTGCAGCCTCTATCTCTCTTCTTCCGTTATTGTCTGACTGTCTGAGGATCTTCCACATCGCCACAACCTTGTTGAAACCACTCAGACTGTGACCTCATCACAGATCAGCCTCTCACTGACATTTTACTATAATTTTCTGTCTGTCTGTCTGTCTGTCTGTCTGTCTGTCTGTCTGTCTGTCTGTCTGTCTGTCTGTCTGTCTGTCTGTCTGTCTGTCTGTCTGTCTGTCTGTCTGTCTGTCTGTCTGTCTGTCTGTCTGTCTGTCTGTCTGTCTGTCTGTCTGTCTTCTAGACACCAGCCGCCTGATGCCCTCCTCTTGTCCACATGACTGGACGTCTTTTCACAAAACTCAGACACACACTGATATCAAACACTAACCGGCCAAGCTTCAGGCTGTCCGGAGGCGGGACTAGACAATCTCTGCTAGCACACATAAATCTTCTCTATTGATCGAGGCTCAGGAAGAAAAAACGGTTATGCACACTGATTTTAGAATATAGATTAGACAACAGAAATATTCCCCGGAATTCCCGACTGTTGCATCTGTACAAACACAGCATACAAGTGTGTTGTACTTCATGGCGCTGCATAAAAGAAAACATGCTTAAAAACCTAGGATGGGGATGGGGCGGGGGTGGAGTGCTGTTTTCTTGTAATTTTCTGGAGCCGGGCACGCCCAAGAAACGTTGCCCTTGTTTAAGTCTGCAATAATAAGAGTTACTTACAGCTGAATATCTAAAATAATATAATCTTTCCGATAAAAAATAATAGGAAATGCAATAAAAAGAGAACTTGGTATTAACTGGCAAGACTGATGGAAAGATGGAGAGGGGAAGGCAAAGAAAAAAATACCCAAATGGCCTGGTTGTGAGGATGGGGCGAGACAAAACACATTGATCTGATCCGTGATTCTGGTGATCATCTAAGATGGTAAAGCATGACATCCGACGCTCATCGGCAAGGCATATAATGATGATGATACTGATCAAAATGATAAAAAATAAATCTTGAAAGAATACGCGTCTTGGCCCCACTGTTTATGTGCCCACATTGACGTTGTGACCTAAGTTTATGGGCCCACATTGACGTTGTGACCTAAGTTTATGGGCCCATATTGACGTTGTGACCTGTTTATGTGCCCACATTGACGTTGTGACCTGAGTTTATGGGCCCACATTGAGGTTTTTACCTGTTTATATGCCCACATTGACGTTGTGACCTGAGTTTATGGGCCCACATTGACGTTTTGACCTGTTTATGTGCCCACATTGACGTTGTGACCTGAGTTTATGGGCCCATATTGACGTTGTGACCTGTTTATGTGCCCACATTGACGTTATGACCTGTTTATGGGCCCACATTGACGTTTTGACCTGTTTATGTGCCCACATTGACGTTGTGACCTGAGTTTATGGGCCCACATTGACGTCGTCACATGAGTTTATGGGTCCACATTGACGTTTTGACCTGTTTATGGGCCCACATTGACGTTTTGACCTGTTTATGTGCCCACATTGGCGTTGTGACCTGAGTTTATGGGCCCACATTGACGTCGTCCCCTGAGTTTATGGGCCCACATTGACGTTTTGACCTGTTTATGTGCCCACATTGACGTTGTGACCTGAGTTTATGGGCCCACATTGACGTTTTGACCCTGGTGTATGGGGTCACATGTTCACGTTGACCCTGGTTTATGGGATCGAATCCATCTTGGTATACGCGGATATCAAAGCCCTGGCTACCTCGTAAAGGATTTAGGCCCTTCACAACTTGAACGGCCAGTGAGTGTAATAGTCACCGAGCTACTTGGCCCGTCTGATTTAAGTGTATGAAACAACGAAAGAAATAAATAATGACTGAAAACAAGATGGATACAAACGGTTAATAACATCATCTGCCACATAAGGTACTGCCAGTGTACGTTAACCTAATTTTTTTTTATTTTCGATCTACCAGGTCCAAACTCCAACCAGAGACGGCGAGGGCGGCAGACCTACACGAGGTTCCAAACACTGGAGCTGGAGAAAGAGTTCAAATTTAACCGTTACTTAACCCGACGACGTCGCATCGAGTTGTCTCACATGCTCTGTCTCACGGAGCGCCAGATCAAAATCTGGTTCCAAAACCGAAGAATGAAGGAGAAGAAAGAACTGCAAGCTATTAAAGAACTCAATGAACAAAGCAGAGGCCATGAGAAGGCACAGATCCAACAACAGTCATCGACAGTATCGTCGGGCAAAGGCGACGAGAAACTAGCATCCCCTGCAACACCAGAGTCAGCACAAAACGTGACAGAGTCACCCAACAGCTCGTCATCAGACACGAGCTGAGGCGCCGCACTTATTTTGTTTTTTCTTCATGACTTTGATAACTTCAGCTAATATTTTTTGTGTTTATAGATCGCTCCGTAACTTTTCGTTGGCTCACAAACCTCGAGAAATTTCGCTGAAGAGCAGAAACTCTTGTCATCTCTCACGGAACTTGGAGTAGCGCAATGTCCACTGACAAACACGAGACCATCTGTTGGTGCAGCCTGAAACTAGGGCAACTTCTTCGCGATTTCCATGGAACTGGTTTTAGTTGGAAATTGTGTACAAATTTACCTTGTCGCCGGGATTATTCTGCTAGAACATGGACAGTTTCTGAAATACCTTGATGTATGTCTAACCAGTACCATTTATTGTCATTGTGATGTCTCGACTAAATTTTCACCAGGAGGATTTCTACGCATTTTTGTAGGCATTGAGATGTCTCGACTGATGTCTCGCCACAAAGATTTGTAAGCTTTGAGATGTCTTGACTGATGTCTTGACTGATGTCGTGACTGGTCTTGACAGATTTCTCAGTACGAAGATGTGCTGGTTTTAAGGTATTTCGACGGAAGTCTTGACTGATATCTTGACTGATGTCTCGACTGATGTCTAGCCACGAAGATGTCTTGGCATGAGATGTATAGACTGATGTCTCGACTGATGTTTTGACTGATGTCTCAGCACGAAGATGTCTTGGCAGGAGATGCCTCGACTGATGTGGTTTAGTTTCTCTGAGACGTGTTGACTGATTTCTCACCTTTAAGATTGTGTTTGTGTGTATGTGCGTGTGTATGTGTGAGAGAGAGAGAGAGAGAGAGAGAGAGAGAGAGAGAGAGAGAGAGTGGTTTAGTATCTCTGAGACGTGTTGACTGATTTCTCACTTTTACGATTGTTGTGTGTGTGTGTGTGTGTGTGTGTGTGTGTGTGTGTGTGTACATATATGTAGGTCAAGTAAAGGTCCCTTGTCCAGACCTTTAGGCTATATTTGTATAGACCAATCAGCACTTGATGGGTGATGTGGTCAGCATCACGCCGGTCGCTTTTACCTCCCAGGACTGCACCTGGTACCCACTCAAGGCTGGGTCTACCTGGGAGTCAAGGTCATTTTTGAAAAAAAAAAGGTTCGGCTCCGTCAGGACACAAACCCACGACCTTCCGATCCGCAGGCAGGCACGCATCTATATACATATATACTGATTCACACCTCGACAGTGAGATAGTTTCCCGCAAATTACGGCTCTCAAATATATTGACGGATTTCTCTCCAGCACGATTTATTGTCTCTGGAATTATTGATTGATTTCTCGTCTTTAGGATTAATTGTCTCTGAGATGTATTGATTGATTTCTCGTCTGTTGGATGTATTGTCTTTAAGATATATTGACTGATTTCTGATCTGTAGGATTTATTGTCTTTGAGATGTATTGATTGATTTCTGTTTTGTAGGATTTATACTTTGATATGTATTGATTGATTTCTTGACTGTAGGATTTATTGTCTTTGAGATGTATTGATTGATTTCTTGACTGTAGGATTTATTGTCTTTGAGATGTATTGATTGATTTCTTGACTGTAGGATTTATTGTCTTTGAGATGTATTGATTGATTTCTTGACTGTAGGATTTATAGTCTGTGAGATGAATTGACTGATTTCTCGTCTATAGAATTTCGTATCTCAAAGACGAAGTGACTGATTTCTCACCTGTAAGATTTATGGCCAGGAGATGTATTGATCGTTTTTTCGCCTGTAGGATTTCGTAGCTCTGAGATGTGATGACTGATTTCTGGCCGGTAACATTTATCGCCAGGAGATATGTTGATTGATTTCTCACCTATAAGTTGAATCGCCAGAAGTAATATTGATTGTTTTTTTCGGCAGGAAGATTTCTCGGCCGGAGATATATTGATTGATTTATCGCCTGTAAGATTTCTCGCCAGGAGATTTATTGATTGATTTCTCGTCACTCAGATTTATCACCAGGAGATACTATGTTTGATTTCTCGCCCGTAGGATTTGGTGTCTCTAAGATGTTATGATTGATTTCTCGCCCGTAGGATTTGGTGTCTCAGAGATGTGATGATTGATTTCTCGCCCGTAGGATTTGGTGTCTCTAAGATGTGATGATTGATTTCTCGCCTGTAGGATTTGGTGTCTCTGAGATGTGATGATTGATTTCTCGCCTGTAGGATTTGGTCTCTCTGAGATGTGATGATTGATTTCCCGCTTGGAAATCTCGATCTATCTGAATAGATTGCCGTCTTCGTGGACAACAAATATCTCCTCACTTGTGTCAGCCACCGGATATTCTATTTTTAAGCGTACAATTATTAATAGAGTTTTGGAGATATTTATACAAGTGCGGGGGCACGATTTCTGAAGATGCTGTAGTTTATGTAGTGGGTGGCTAGTACTTGTGTCCCAGCTGACAATTTTTACGCCCATGTTTTAGTTGTGACTTCTTACATTTCTCCTGAAGGTGCCACTTACATGTCTGTGTTTAAAAGTAAAGGACCTTTTCCAGTCTTGGGCATAAAGGGCTAGAGTTATATGTTATAGATCAGTCTGCATGACACTAGCCACCTTTACTTCCCAGGATTTTACCTAGGAACCCACTCAAGGTCCGGTCGAGCTGGCAGACATGATCAATTTTGAAAATGTATGGCTTCGTCAGGATCCGAACCCAGTACTTTCTGATCCTCTAAATCACGGTGGCTCCTATATCTGTCTAGCTACAGCTTTAATGACTATAGTCTCCCTGACTGACTTAGTCGATCATCTTCTAGCTTGGAGTGTAGATCTTCGCAAGAGAGGTAGCCAACGTTCTATATCAGATGTTTTCTTTCTGGCTTTGCTCCATCCCAGTCCTCTCTCAGCCAAGGACTGTCCATTACCTGTTTCAATACAATTCGATCGTATCCATCCAGCACCTTTGGCGTCGTCGGCTCATCACTGTTTGTCTGAAGGTTTCTCGTGGGTGACCTCGTCTCGTCAGTCTATTTGTTTCCGACGTCAGTGCCTCTTTGGTAGATCTCTGCTTGTGGTTCCTCGGTAAATGCTCAATATTTCACCATCGTATTTGTCTTTTAACATGTTTTATGTTTTTAATAAAATAGTCTGAAAGAGAGATAAAGAGAGAGAGAGAGAGAGAGAGAGAGAGAGAGAGAGAGAGAGAGAGAGAGAGAGAGAGAGACTCACAACTACAATTGTTTATCCCGTGACCAGTCTATTCTTGTGCACGTGCTGCTCAGAAATTACCATTATATTTTGGTGATCATTTATTATCATATCGTCATCAGCGTTATCAGTATCATTATCATCACAGTCGTAATTGCCATCTTCTCCGCTTCTACCATCATCACGTTTATTACCATCACCATCATCTTCATCGCTGCTACCCTAATCACGTTTATTACCATCACCATCATCTTCTTCGCTGCAAACCACGGCCGGTGTTCGAAACCGGGCGGTTCCCGGGGTTCACCCAGCCTCTATGTAATGGGTACCATAGTTTACACTCTGGGGAAGATTGGGGAACGTCGCTGTAGCTACGGAGTTATGTGCGGATGGTGACACAGGTGGACAATTTCTTATCAGCTGTCCGTACTGGTGGCAGAGCACTTATGGTTTATAACCGTACTAAATGACGCTGGTTCACATCTCCCGACTTCACCGTTTCATTAGCAACATCACTTTCTTCGATTCCTCTGCCACCTCCACTAGTACATACATCATCATCAGTATCATCATCTCGAAAACCACGCTGCATAAAATGAAATTCTGACGTGTGTGCAGGTTGGTAGTCGGGTCAAATACAGGCTCTACACGGCCTCAAGCCGATGTACACCTTCTACCAACATTGATATTAAAATTACGTTTCGCTTCAGCCAGTCTGTGTTGTGTCATCAGTGTGTTTGTTTGTCAAAGTGTTCCTTGTGAGATATCTTGTTTCACTTCCATCAACAACATCAAACTATTTCTTTTTTCGTTCATTTGTCTGATAGGTTCCCTTGATAGCTGTACAGTATCTCCAGCCTGTCAGCTCTGTGGCTAAGTCGATGCAAACGCGTCATAATGCCGGGATGCCGGTTTCGATTCCAGTTGAGGGTCATGCGCCTTGTGTTGGTTTCGACAGTGGTATCAAGAGGCAATGACAAACTATTGGACGTAAATTTGCGTAGAAAAAAAACCACACTGCAGCCAGGAGCTGTTGAGGTTGGTTCTGCCACGTCCTGTAAAGGATACGCAACTAACCTCTCTCTCCAGCCTTGGTTGTAACATGGACAAACTACAATCTATGTCTTTGACATGAGCTCAATGACACAATCATCAACTAAGAGTATCAGATTCAGGGTATACTGTAAACTGTTATGTGGACTAGCGGTCAGGACCTTTGACTTTTGACCAATACTTGGAAGAAAATGGCCAGTCCTTATCACGTGCGGAGGGAAACGAAAAGACGGAAGGGGGTGGGAAAGACGGTCATAGGAAAAGCAGTTACTTTTATACGATGGTCTTCCTATTTAGACATCATCGGTTGTAGATCAACTCCATTGATAAGTTGGTTGGACCGCGGTAGAGGTTATGGGTGTCGCTGTTGTTGTCTGGCATTTACGTTTTTATTTTGGAGAAAGAGACGGCCTGTGACATAGGTTTCGTGACTCGCTAGGGGGATTGTGTGTTTGACCCAGTATCTAAATGTTTGAGAAGTATTAAAAGCTCTGGAATGGTGAAATATACAACACGCGGTATAAGCGCTAGTGCGGAATATACCCGTGACCTTGTGTGAAAGTCGGATCGCTCAAAATCAACCTAGTGTGTAGCGGTGTGTAAGTGGGGAGACTAGCGTAAAATTTACCGGAAAAGGAAACAAACAGGGACTTGAGGCCTTGATTTGGTTGTGGGACTGAGTACGATCATCTTGGCTTAGGATACATATTTCTTGTACACCCAGGCACCCGGCCTTGATTTGGTTGTAGGACTGAGTACGATCATCTTGGCTTAGGATACATATTTCTTG